TCTCACGTTTGTCTAGAAAGCCACTTAGAGTAGAGCCATTAGTGAACAGTGTAATTTTCAAATTACATGACAGAAAGATCACTGAAGGGCTGTAGTCTACCCCTAAATAACCTGACAGTAACTCCACAAACATTTGCTAGTTTAGAGCTGTATATAATCTTGGTCAGAAGTTGGAATTGATTCGTAGGTGCCGGGTGTGACGGCATGTGAAGTGGTTCCAGTTGAGCTTTACCTGTGGCCGTGTCTCTCCTTCCCTCCCAGGACTCCCTAGTCCTTGCTTTTCCTTGATTTCCTCTCTCCTGTGCGTTGGCACACTGCCACAGACATGCTAAACTAGTCATGTCTGGTTTCTTGCAGGGTCATCTTCTCCCTTAGCCTATTAATATAAACAAGTCTCTCTCATCTTTAAAAACAAGGGCCATACACTTTCTCTAAATACCATGCTTTCATTTGTTTTCCCTTTAATATCTGACTCCTTTAAAAAGGCTATAATTGTTACTTATCACCCATTCAGAATTTGACAAAGTTCTTATTTGTCTTTTTTTTAACCTAGTTTATCTCACCTGTTTTTAACACTTCTTTGTCATAACTATTGACTGAAGAATTTCTCTGAATTTGAATGCACGGTGCCACCTTTCTTCAAAGGACTGTCTAGCTCCCGTCCTCTTCATGGTCACCTTACTGGGTTGCTCTAGAGGGGCATGACTGGCATTGCAGTCTGTGTGAAATGTCACCAGCTGTCCACAGCAACTCTACTAAGACCTAAATGCATGGACTAAGGAAGATTGCTGTGGGAAGACCTCTTTTGTCATGTCACAGTAGGTGTCACGCATTAGGTGACAGGTTCTGTGTCCACAGCTCAAACTGACACATGCTGTCTGTATTTCTAGTCCAGATCTCTCTTGAGAATTCCAGATTTTTCCTTAATTTCACGTAGGATTCACCACATCAGATTGAAGAAAACTTTTTTACTCCACCTACTCCCATTCTCTCAGCTTTCCTGTAGTCCCTGTTTCACAGCAGCTCAGAGCCAGCTTAGCTCCTCCCTCACCCACACTGCTCTCATCTGATTAGAGAGCGCGTCTCATAGACTCTACTTCGCAATACCCCCATTTCAGTCTTAAAATTATTAAAGACGTAAAGAACTTTTATGTGGGTTGTATCTATTAATGATTTTCATGTAAGAAATTAAAGTACATTTTAAGATATTTAAGACTAAATCATATGTCGACATAACATTTTTATGAAAAATGACTGCTTTTTAAAACAAAATTACTGAAAAGAGCATTATTTTACATTTTTGCAAATTTAATATATGTCTGAATAGAAGATAGCTAAATTCTCGTGTGTGTTTCTGCATTTAATTTATTATGATACATCATTTGGATTGAAGTACATAAAGAAAATTCAACCTCACACAGATATAGTTGAAAAAGGGAGGAATATTTTCAGTTAATTAATGCCATATCAGAAATTGACCAGTGGTAGTTTAAGTCTTAAAGGTTAATTGCAGTGTGAAATCTGAAAGGATTATCAGTGAAATTTTTTATTATTTATTATGTTAAAGTCTTTCATAAACTCATGCATTTTGTTCATTTGGAAAATACTGACTCACAGAGTTATGCAGATCTTCCAGATGTTAGAGCATCACCAATCTCATGTGAAGAGCTTCTGAGTATTGGGAAGTCATGGGGGCAGAGTCCAGTTTTCCAAAATGCTAATTTTTGTTTGAAAGATTGAATTTTATCATGGACAGCAAATATTTCCAGTTGTTTTCCTTGAAGTGACAGATTCTCTTCATTCATTTTTGAGAAAATGCCTAGTAGATAGCCAAGTCTGAATAAGCACAGGCAATCATATTTTAATATAAACGAGTAAAAAGATTGGTATCACCAAGAGTGACTAGCACCACTTGCAGTTCAGATGGTTTCCTCGCAGCAGCTGTGATGCTTCAGTATGCAGCAGATACGCGTTAGGCAAATTCTCAGGTTCTCAAAAAATGTTCTTAAAAGGTGCAATTAAGGATTAAGATTTAATAAAATCAATAATTTTTATTTCCAGTGTGGATATTTTTAAGTGAAACTTTGCTTTTATGGTGAAGTAGTTTGGGGCCGCCGCTTTTATGCACATTCAGGTACCAACAGTTTTACCTCCTTTGTTTCAAGAAGCTCCATCAGTACAAATTCTTCACTCAGTGAAGGAGGTGCGATAACACTTAAAGAGCACCGTAGTGTTATGGAAGTAGTTTTTAGCTCACAGATACCTTGGAAGGGGCTCCCTGGGTCCCCAGACTGCACTTTGAGAACTGCTCCCTAAACATCAAGCCTACTCTTGCCCACTCCCACCTTCTTAACTTGGTCCTTAGTTATTCTCTCCTAACTGATCTCCCATTCTTTATCTCTTCCTCAAGAATTATTTTTCTAGAATATAAATGTAATTTTATTGATACCCTGTTAGAGTCTATCAATGTACCTCGATACAATTGGACGAAATCCAGATTCCTCTGTAGAACATAGAACTTTCTTTCCTCATCACCCTGGCTGCCTACCCCCATTCCTGTTCCTGTTTGCCTCCTCCTCTTTCAGTCTGGCTGGATTTACTGGTAATTCCCTGCACACCGTCTCTTCAGTCCGTATTTTCACACCTTGAATACTCTCACTGCTAGTTCCCTCCTAATCTTCTAGCTGCACATCATTTTTAAATCACTTCATGTCACTACCCACAAAATTTTATAATAAAATTTGCTGTAGCACTTACATTGTTGTATAGTTATTTTGCTTATGTATCATTTTGTCTATTACATTGTGAGCTGTTAGAGGTCAAGAACTGTGTCTGTCATTGTATTTCCATACTTAGCAAGGGTGAGGTGTATGTAGAATAGTGATGTTTTTAATAAATGTTTGAGTGTTTGAACGAATTCCATAGAAACTCTGAAAACAGATTAACTCCACAGCATTTCACTTTCTTCTCCTTTTAATACAATCCTTCGGTAGAGTTGCTAACAACTAATAAAAATGCCACATATGGGCAGAAAAAGAAATACATATATTTAGAATATATACTATATGCAGCCACTTTATTGGATAAAGTAATGAATATTTTGTAATTTATACTATAAGTAAGATTCAGGGAATGTTTTGGTTTATAATATGTACTATTGAAAAGTTATAATGGATTTCATTTTGAAAAATTAACCTCCTAAATTTAACTCAAGTCTAATTAATTTAGATTTGATTAAATTTAAGTTAATTTGATTAACTCAAGTCTAATCAATTTAGATTTTTTTCCTCCTAATTTAGAATTCTTAATATGGAGGCAAAAAGACCAGGATTACTGTATTTTTATTAATATTTTAAAACAAATACTTAGAAATGATTATTTAAATTACTTTTTAAATACATTCTCTACATAATTTCATATTAAAACTTGGGTTATGGTGTTTTGTGTGTAAGCTTAGTATAGTAAAATGAAATCTTGTGAAAGGCACTCTGTCAGAAAGGCACTTAACTAGAGATCCGTCCCTTCATCAGCAAAAAGAGCCTCCTTCAAGGCGCCAGCTCAGTGGCTAATGCCTATAATCCTAGCACTTTGAGACCTGAGGTGGGAGGATAGCTTGAGGTCAGAAAGGTGTTCAAGACTAGCCTGGGCAAAAGAGGAAGACGCCATCTCCGCAAAAATAGAAAAATTAGCCAAGAGTGATAATGTCAGCTCTCTGGAGCCTAAGACAAGAGAGTTACCTGAACACAAGAGTTTGACGATTCAGTAACCTGTAATGATGTTACTGCACTCTAGCCCTGGTGACAGAATGAGACCCTATTTCAAAAAAAGAAAAGAATACTCTTTCAAAAAAAAATTTTTTTTCTAAGATTTCATAATGTATAAGACTTTAAACGTTAACCTATTGGGTGTACTGCACACCATCTGGGTGGGATGCATGTTTATAACCTTGACTCAATTTGTGCAAAAACAAAGTATGTAAACAACATGTGTTTCTCCTAATATTCTGAAATAAAAAGAAAAAACTTCTAAAAGTTAAATTTTCTTATATTAACAACTTTTGTTACCACCATTCTGCATAATGCATTATAAATATACATATTTAAATATATCTAAATATCTGAAAGCAGATTTTGTAGATTATACTTCCTACCCATAGACCATGTCATTGTTTATTAGTACCTGGGTAGAGGAGATAAAATAATTTTTAAAAACTAATCACCTTGGACCTACTAATTTAGAATTTACTACCACTGAGTACTCAACTAAAACTTAACTTTTTACAGCCCATGGCCTAGATGTTGCCTAGTAAAGTTAAATAGTTTACAAAGTTACGAGGGTAATTAAATCTTTCAGAGACCTTTAAGTCATTTAATCATTTCTGTTTATCAGATTTAAAAACCAATAGTAATTGAGATTTCTTCAAAAAGATTCTGAATTAGTGAGGTATGTAAATACAATCAGACTTAGATCTTTTTCATCTTTCCAGAGATAAATTTGGCCAAATATTACTTCTTGGGATTATGCTTGGGATTCTCTTATGCTTTTCTATCCCCATTGCCTTAAATTTGTAAGAATTGAAAATATTCTCTGAACTGTGTGTCAGTGTTGTGTATAATTAGAATGCCATGTACCTACGAAGAAACAAAGCAAAATATTTTAATTCCATTGATTTATGGAAATTGATTGTAAAATGTTAGTAATGCTTACCCAAACTCAGAAATGGGTATATTGGGTTAGAAGATTTTATAGAAATAAGGGCAAGTTGGATATTAAATTTGATAAATTTTATTTGAAAAGAGTTCCCTTTTGTATCATTGTTTCTTATAAGGAAAAATTTATTGGAAAATGAAAACCCAGAGGATATATAGTGATTTTGCTCATAAATCTGTTTTCCAGCATTCATTTACTACAAACATTGTCATCTGTTCTTTTCTTTATTTCATAATTAATTTCAAAATTCTTCATTTTTTATCTAATTTAACATTTTCATATTTTTAAAGGTCCCCAGGTGCATCCAATTTTTCAACTTTACCAAAGATCTCTCCTTCATCTCTATCAAATAATTATAACAACATCAACAACAGAAAGTAAGCACTGAATCTTAAAAACTCTTTGTTTAACTGATCACCCTATTGTGGTTGCAAAACATCTCTTGTATCTAAAATTTAGGGTAAATGACTTAATGCATTAAAATTGGTTTTCTTTCAAATTATTATCAGTTACTCCATGATTAATAAGAAAGAAAGCAGTTATAAACTACTTCATTTAATATATATATAAAAATAACTTACTGAAAGAAAGCACTTGTAGAATTTTACATACAAAATACTATTGAAATATAGAAATTTGTTAGAACTCGCTTTTTTAGGAAGAATATAAACTTCAGATGCCATTTTAGAACTAGATTTTTTGTTTTGTTTTGTTTTTGCTGTATTTAGAGATGGGGTCTTGCTCTTTCACCCAGGCTCAAGTGTAATGCTGTAGTCATAGCCCACTGTAGCCTCAAACACCTAGACTCAGCAATCTCTCACCTCAGCCTCTGGGGTAGCGAAGAGTGTAGGTGTGCCACACCACACCCAACTAAATTTTTTTTTTAATTTGGTAGAACAGGGATCTTGCTGTGTTGTCCAGTTATGTTTAATTGGTCGAATCAAATTATGGGAAAAACCTCTGGTCTCAAGCAGTCCTCCTGCCTCAGCCTTTCAGAGTACCGAGATTACAGGAATTAGCCACCATGCACCACCAATAAATTATTTTTTTAAGGTATAGGTCAGTGATTCTCAACAGGGAAGCACATACAAATTTTTATGCTTATTAAAAAGGCAACCAATTTTTCTTAAGTTCAGAGATTCCCTAGCCCCATGACAAATAAAATTGAGAATCTTGGAATTTATGGAAATTTTGTGAAAGTGTGTGCAATATTGCTATAAGAGAAAAAAGGTTGAAAGACATTTAGGCTTCACTGTAACATCTGACTCTATGTGTATCACTTTGAAAATTGCCATATTTATTTTATTGAAAAAGGAAAGAAGAGGCCAAGTGTCATGTCTGAGGCCTGTAATCCCAGCACTTTGGGAGGCAAAGTGGGAGCATCACTGGAGGTCTGGAGTTCCAGTCCAGCCTGTACAACCCGGCAAGACCGCCATCTTTGCAAAAAAATTAAAAATTAGCCAAACATTGTGGCTCATGCCTGTAATCTGAGCTACTTGGGAGGTTGAGGCAGGAGGATTTATGGAGGCCAGAAATTTGAGGTGTTTCAGTGAGCTATGATGACACCACTGTACTCTAGTCTGGGCAACAGTGAGACCCTGTCTCAAAAAAATAAGGTAAAAAGAAAACCTTTCTTATGTTTAATTGGTCCAATCAAATTATGGGAAAAACTTTGATCTAGATATGATTATCTTCCTTTTATTTTTAAACTACATATAGTATGGTTTATGTATTAGGTTAGCTGTGTTTATGTAATTAAATATTTACACCATTTGTTCAGTTCATAAATGGCATCTGATTATCCCAGTAGTAAATTTTAAAAGACTGAAGCTATTTGCAAAATAATCTTTAAAATAACACCAATAATTGAATTACAGGCTCAATTAATTTTTCTTTAAAAGTCATATTTTGGGGATAAGTTAGAAAACATGATTCTAACATATATCTGAATTATAAATGAAAATAGTGCAAATAATTTTGGAAAAAATAATGAGAAAAATAGTGTTATTAAGTATCACACTGGATTATAAAGATAAGAAAATATTGTAAAGTTAGGAAAATTCAAACAGCATAATAGAACTGACCCAAGAATACACGTAAAGATCAGTGGGATCAAACACACAGCCCAGAAACACTTTTGTATGTAGAAGATTAGCTGTGGTAGGAAAGCATTCCGTTTCAGACTCGTGGGATATGGGCAGTATGCAGGAAATACTGTGAGAACGTTTGACAACTCTTGAGAATTTCTCTTTGGAAGTTAAATCCAAGATAGTTGTTTGGCATATTAAAAAAGAGGCAAATAAATGGAAAAAATTACTTGCTACAAGTGATAAATAAAAGATAAATTTTCTTAATGTATAAAGCTCATTTTCTAAGATATTTGGAAAGTGGGCAAATAACACACTGCACAATAAAAATAAAGGAGGTAAATGAGGCATAAACATTTTAATTGTTCACATTCACCAATTAAGAATAAGTAAATTAAAACCATTAAAAAAATCATATAATTTCTACCATCTTAATCATGTTGGGAAAAATTAAATGTATTCTTAAAGGAGTTTTTTTTTTTTTTTTGAAAGGTTGGAATATTAGTACAAATTTCCGGAAGAGTTTGCCGGTATGAATCAAGAAGATTTTTTTTTTGTTTTGAGACAGAGTCTCACTTTGTCACCCTTGGTAGAGTGCTGTGGCATAGCTCACAGCAACCTCAAAATCTTGGGCTCAAATTATTCTCTTGCCTCAGCCCCCAAGTATCTGGGACTATAGGTGCCCGCCACAATGCCCAGCTATTTTTTAGAGACAAGGTCTTGTTCTTGCTAAGGCTGGACTCGAATCTGTAAGCGCAGGCAATCCACCTGCTTCAGCCTCCTGGAGTACTAGGATTACAGGCATGAGACGCCGTGCCCAGCCAATCAAGAAGATTTAAAACATCACAGCTTTACTTCATTAACTCATAAAAAGTGATGTCCACTGTGTGTAACAGCATTACATAGTAGTGTAACAGTGAAATATTAACGACACTGTGAAATCCCAAATACCCCCGTAATTCAGTTTTTATTTTATATCTTTAAATTTATCAAAAGTAACTTTTTTTGCAGTAGATAAAATATTTTTTATGTTTCTACCAAGTGTAGATGGCTCCCACATTTACAATAAAAGAGAACTCATTTACCAGCACAAAACTTGTGTAGCCATTATTTGGAGAGATTTTTCATATTACATATAGACTGTATTGAACACAGACGACTTTGACCAGAGTCGTCATATTTGTATACATGGTCTATTATATTTCTGTTTTTGTCTTATTTCCCCTCTCATCATAGAAATAGGACAGGACATTCTAATCTCAAAACCTCTGAGTGTAACAGCTGTTGACAGGAATAAGGTTTTACGTTTTAAAACATGTTTAATAATTCTACTCCTATGGTTAGACTATATTTTGATCTAATTTATATTTGTCTTTTAAAATATAATATTCCTAAATATTCTATATTCTATACTATATACTATATTCTAAACTATATTTTAGTATAGAATATATCTATATCTCTTTTAAATATATATGTTTTAAAATATAATATTCCTAAATATTCTATACTAAAGCATTCCTTTCATAATAGAGAATTTTAATACCAACCTGAAGTATGGACATGCTGTGATCATTTGGAACTTAAAAGTAAATGTTATGTATAGATTACCTTTCTTAGTAAGGAACAGAACTTAAGCATTCATAAAATAGAAAGGTTTTTTTTTAACTTTAAAAACTTGAATTAACACTATCTAAACAATTACTTCACATAAAATTTACTTCTTGAATTTTCGTTCAACTGGTGGAGTTATGTAGCAGCTTATGACTTCAACTAGAAGTAACGTATTTTCTTTAATTAAGAGTATGTAAAATAGGTAGAGGCCTTTCTAGGTGAAGTGCATTTTGAAGCGTCATGTATGTAAAAGTAGTCTGCAATTATAAATAATACAGAAGGTTATAGGAAATTTATTTACAGGTTTAAGATTTGAACAGTCCTACACTGATAGATTGCTAAGTCAGAAAATTTTCGTTTCTAGAGGTAATAACAAAGTATACTTGGAATGAGTTAATTTACATTTAACAAAATTTTTATTAAAAACTAATATTATGAAAAGTACATTACTGGAATATAGTTTGTTTACACTGTGCTATAATTTTATCTGTTAGTCCATAGAGTTTGTGTTTTTGCCTCAATTATAGTTTAAGTACATTTTTTAATATCTCCAAAATTCTTTCTCTGGTAATAGTTATATTACTTGCATTTTTGCCCTGCTATATTTGCTTTAATATATTACTAACACTGCCTTTGGATTAAAAATATTTTTCAGATAAATCTTAATTTGACATTCTATCTCAGAGTGCATTTCTATTTTTCTGTTAAATCACTTAAATTTTTTTATTTGAAATGGTAATGATTCCCTGTATGAGATTAAGCAATGAAAAAAAACTGAATTTTGGAGATCACCAGAGCTAGCCATCTGGCTCTTGATCAGTTAATTAGCTAAAAGCATCATGTCATTAACTGCAAAGTGGGCATAATCATACTTATGAGGATTAAATTATGTATTTATTGTTACATAATAATATATATATTATTATATATATATTGACATATAATGTCAAATGTCAGTGTTAATCCAAAAGTCAGTCTGAAAGCTTTATAGACTAATATGGTTCAGTTTTACCACAAAATAATTACTGCATTTTAACGTATCTTTATAAAGATAATAGACTTAAAATCCATAATTAATTTACTATAGCATTAAAATTTTCATTATTATTAATATAAATTTGTTTCTGTAAAGTAGTATATCCTTAAAAGATGGTAACTAGCTTAAGATCTTCGGGGAAAAATTAGCAAAAATGGTAGTGAAAAATATTAAAAATACAGGCAGTTTTTAGGGCCTAGGTTTCCGTGTACATTGTTGAATTGTTGAAAACTGCAGGTTTTGATATTTCCCATGGTAAGTTTTAATGTTTGATTCAGAGCAGTGGTTCTCAACCTGTGGGTTGCAACCCCTTTGTTCCATTTGTAACAACGCGGCAATTAGGAAGATTGAGAACCACTGATTTAGAATGTACATGACATGTGGGTTATAAATGACCAATCAAGATGATATTAAAGTATTTTTAATTCATTGGTTTTCTGTATCATCTTTGAGCATCTAGACTATCTCAGTCTTTAGTGGTAAATAAGCCTTCCCTGTCATTTAAACTAAAACATGGATAACAATTAGGGATTCAGATTTTAAAAAACAAAACCAAAATTGTGCTTTGTAAATAAGTTGTTTGTTCATTTCTCAGTAATAGGAAGTCCTGTCCATCAAATCACATCATGTTGCCGCAGAGAAGAGTAGCACTTCTGGCACCCGTTGGTGTCCGTGTGGGGAGACAGACATCTGAATGTCAGTGTGCTGCTGGTCTGTCGCCCTGCGTGTGTGTGTGTGTGTGTGTGTGTGTGTGTGTGGGGGCATGGGCATGCACTTGGGCATGCGTCTCCTGTGTGCTCTGGCTGCTTAAATTTTATAGCCAAAATATATGGTTTTTTCTTCTGTAACATGCAGAATGTATAGGAAACACAGGGCTTGCCTTTTTTTTTTTTTAATGTTTACACAAGGCCTTCATTTTTAGCATCACTTAGAGTAATTAAAGAAAAACAAAGGATTTTTTTTGTACTTCAGCTTTTTTTGTTTACCGAAATTAAATTCAGTAATCCAATTATGAGTGAACAAATATAGAATTGCTAATAGGTGCTTTGCCTTTTATTATTAGTTACTAGGATTATAAAATAACATGAATCATAAGGATAATGATCTAGAAAAAAGCATACTTGAATCCTAATTTGGGCTTTATATATTTTTTTAGTTTAAAACAAACAAATAGCTACAAGTCCAGCAATTCTGAATTTGAATTGATTGAGGTTACTTTTGATTGGAATCTGCTACTTTTTATTTAATCTCAGGACAGATTGTTTTTTGAGAGTCAGGGAGTTGACCTCTCTTGGTTTGTGGGAAAAGGAGTATTCTTTTAAAAACTGCAGAAATATTAGTGGGCTAGCACTCTGTATAATTTTTTTATGTGGTTTTATGTGTTTTACCTGTTTGCAGGGGATAACAGTCTATGTGTGTATGATTCCCTTAAACTGTTATAATAATAAAGTAAAAGGATAGTATATAGGATAATAAAGTGTAACATTTGGAATCATAAGAAAAAATATTTTTAAAAAACAATACCAGGAATAAATTGTAGCCAGCTGAGATTGCTAGACTTACTGATTCATCATTTTTATTTGTAAAACCATATTATTTATATCAGCACTTGCTTTTAGCAAACAGTCTTGATTTCCATTCAGGTTTTTTCTAATGAATAAAAAAATGATTTAAAGTGTACTTCTGAGTTATATTCAGAGTATCTAGCATAAATATTTTCATACATTAAAAAAAGGAATCATTTAACTTACTTAATGACTTCTTGGTTACTTCTAAATTTATCAATTTTCTAAATTTTAGAAGATAATGTGTTTATAAAAGATTAAATTTAGTACAAATTATCTTGATTAGTACAACTTATCTAAATGAATAAGCTGTATTTTGACAAACTAGAAGAAAAGAGTGGCAAATAATATTGGGATGTATTTGTTTAGAATCATTTTTGCACTCTGATCACCCAGAATTTTTTTCCACATTTGAACACTAGACTTTTTTTTTTTTTGCTGATCTAGCATAGAAACTATAAATAGAATCTTCAGTCCATCAGAAGAGTGATGTCACAGTGGCTTTGAAAGTCTCTGCTCTCACCTGTAACTAAAGCACAACTCTTCCTTTCTCTACTCCTCTCACTCTGTTACAGTAGCAGGAGGCAAAAGGGACATAAATGAGATGATTTATTGCTGTGGGTGGTGTTTAAAGTCAGAATGCTTTAAATTTGATGGAGCAATGAAGAATGGAGTGAGCTGTGACGCTGCTCCAATTAATCAAGGGTAGAAAGATATAATCGTGGTTTGTATTGGCTGGTGTGGTATATGAGGCAGAGATTTTGTTGACTGGATGAGGAATATCTTAATTAAGGGGGCAGTATTTTGTTTGAGGTTCAAGTCTTAAAAAGTGCCTGAGTGCTTCATAAAAAAATAGCAGTTGACCACCTGTCTTCATAAATAGGCTTAATCTGTCTGTTTTAACATATTATAAAACAATTGGCTGCATTATGAAAAATACTTCTTTTCTTCCAGTGTGAAAAACTCAAATTATTGTCTCCCATCATATACTGCTTATAAGAACTATGATTATTCAGAACCTGGAAGAAACAATGAACAACCAGGCCTCTGTGGCCTAAGTAACTTGGGAAATACGTGTTTCATGAACTCAGCTATTCAGGTAGGTCTTTCTAAACAAGGTGAAACTCATGTTTCATGGAAATTTGTAATACAAGAAAAATAGAACTGGCTTTTTATGTTAGAATATAAGTATTGTATGTGTTTTGAGAGTTTATACGTTCATGAAAGATTTAAGCACACATCTGACTCATGCATTCTGTTACTGGTAGTAAGAGATTACTATGTTCCTCAATTAGTTGACATGAGATTGATTACCATAAGGTAGAAGATTAAATGTCACCTCATGCAAAATATAATTCCAAACAGAAAATTTAGGCTATCTAAGAAAAAGGGGAAAAAAGGAGTGAGTTCTATCTTTTATTCAATAGAAGTCTTTTTTTGCTTTAATAGGAAACTGATTTTACAAAAGAAAATTTTGTGAACCTCCTTCTACATACATGTTTAATAAATCACTTTTTCTTAAAGGTCTTTTAATTTGGAGATATAAGCGATCACTGTCTTCTCCCCACCTTTTTTTCCCCCCTGGAGCTTCCCCTCCTTTTCTGTTCCTGTTTATATTTTATTCCAACTTATTAAATATTTTAAGTCCTTAATTCTGAAGTAATAAAAGCTATGTATTTTTAATATCACTGTTAACAATGTATAAAATTAGGGCTGATTATTTTATTACAGTCTTAATTTTTACAGATAAAATTTCTGTGTTTATAAAAGCCCAGAATAAAGGTAGATCCTTTTTTATATTTTTATCCTTTTTTTGGTAAATCTTTTTTTACCAAAAAGAATTCTGAATTTTTAGTTTTAAGTCTTTAACATTTTTGTTCTTCATTTATATTTTAATATTGAATCTTTTTTGCCCGGGAGGCAGCTTCCAAAGATAGAGCTCAAATGCAGAGTTTAGATTGATAAAGACAACGTTGCTTACCTTTCTGTGTGAGGAAAGGATGACTCGTCACCATTCAGTACTAAATGAACTTTTTTGTACATTGTCATTAATCCAACTATCCCCTAAATTAACTGTTGTCTTCATAGCATTCTTAGAAATTGGAAGTTAACTGTCATATTCTATAGGTCAGGAAATAGCAATCTTTTAGAAATAGGGGGTGGTAGTCATTTTTCTGATTTCTTGGTTTAGAGTTGAATCACTTGAGAAATAGGCTGTTTGTTCAGACAGAGACTATATAGGTTAATAAATTCTTCCTTTGAATCTTCTTTGATTAAGTAATACTGTTCATACTCTAATGTGAACTATACTTTATTTAGAATTGGTTTTCAAGGATCTTAGCTCTCGTTAAACATAAACAAATATAAATTTTTATCTTTATTTTTCTGAAAGGGGAAAAAGGGAACTCATCTGGTAAGAACAACCCAAAATGTACTATTATCCTTAGTTCTTTAGATAACAAAGTGAAGTACGTGGGTGCTAAGCTTAACTCTTCATCTTTGTACTGCCAAAATTACTTTGGTTCCAGAGGCTTGATGTTAGCTTGAGTTTTTTTTAAATATTCTAATATAAAAAACCAATCTTGGTGCTTTTCCACAAAGATGAAGAAAATTAATTGGCAACATAAGCATTAGAAATTTGAATCTGTCAGAAGAGAACAAGAGTTGGTGTTCATGCCAATCCTCCTGGGAGGCCGTGGTCAGCCTTCAGAATGACCTCCTCCAAGGCAGTTAGTTTGCATCCCCGTCCTCTGTGCCTTCCGTCTGTCTGTTTAGTATTGTCTCCAGTCAGTCAACTGTAGTTCCTTAAAAGCGGGTATTAAAGCTAAATCTTGCAATGAGTTTTATTGACCTAGATTTGGCACTGTTTAGTTTTCTCATATGTTATGTTTACAGGGTAGGAAACTTCATCTTGCTTATTTGTGCTTCTGTTCAAAGGCAGAAGCGTTCATTACAATAAATTGGTAGATCTATCATTGACCCTCTATGTTTTTGTTTTTGTTTTGAGACAGAGTCTCACTATGTCGCCCTCAGTGGAGTGCTATGGCATCACAGCTCACAGCAACCTCAAGCTCTTGGGCTTAAGCGATTCTCTTGCCTCAACCTCCCAAGTAGCTGGGACTACAGGCGCCCGCCACAACGCCTGGCTATTTTTCTGTTGCAGTTGTCATTTTTGCTTAGCTGGCCCAGGCTAAGTTTGAACCTGCCTCCATGTATGTGGCCAGTGCCATAACCACTGTGCTATGGGTGCTGAGCGACCCTCTGTGTTTTTAATACATTTCACTGTTTCTTCTGAAATATAGCCATAGGATGATGGTTTATAACTTGAGGATAATAATTACAAATTTTTTTTTTTTTTTTTTTTGAGACAGAGCCTCAAGCTGTCCCCCTGGGTAGAGTGCCGTGGCATTACAGCTCACAGCAACCTCCCACTCCTGGGCTCAAGCGAGTCTCCTGCCTCAGCCTCCCAGGTAGCTGGGACCACAGGCGCCCGCCACAACGCCCGGCTATTTTTTGGTTGCAGCCGTCATTGTTGTTTGGCGGGTCCGGGCTGGGGATTCGAACCCGCCACCTTAGGTGTACGTGGCTGGCGCCTTAGCCGGTTGAGCTATAGGCACCGAACCATAATTACAAATTTTTAATGAAAAATTCAGCAGTGAGTATTTTAAGCAACAGATATTATTTCATATCTATATCTTAATATAGGTGGAAACTATACTTTTCCTAAAAGTAAAACTTTTCAGACAAGTGGGAGAAGAGAAAAGTGAATTACTATTTTTGCTGCTTTTGGCTTTTAATCCATATCTAGAATTAGAAAATCTAGGACTTTAGTTTTATTTTCTTAACATATCTGTGAATTTTAATTGGTTTACATGTCACCTCTCAAGCTGAAAATTTACCAAGAGGAAGTATAGAATGGTAGCAGCAGCCTTTGCTCCTGTCTCCCAGACACCCTTGTGAGGTCTTAGGTCCACAGACCCACAGACAAAAAGGGTAATAGGGAAACAATAGAATAGAGGCTTTAAATAATTTTTTTCAGACCCATTTCTTCAGTTATGCTTTTTTCCCAGACTTTTCTTATAACTTCTTTAAAATTGAACATAATTCATGAACTTGAGAAAATATTGTAAAACAATGTTTCTACTGATAATTTGAATTTTAATATGATCTCTTAATCCTAAAAAAAGTGATCATTTTAGTACATCAGGTGGTGTAATTATTGACAAATCTTACAAAAGGAATGTGAAAAACATACCTTTTTTTTTTTATGTGAGAGGGTTATGCTGAACCCATGAATAGTCTTGAGATACTAAAATCTTTTGATCAGCCATGATGAAAAACTAAGAAAGCACCAATGTGAGATTCAACATTATATTGTTATTTGATTTAATTATATTGATGCTCAAGATTTTCTCTGATGTAATAGTGTATTTTTCTGATGAATATAGTATTTCCATATGGCTTTAATTCATTAAGCTAACATTTATTGAATGCCAAAGGTATGTGAGATATTTTTGGACAACTGGCACTCCATATCCACGGGTTCTGTATTCAAGGATTCACTTAACTGCAGGTTGAAAATATCTGAAAAAAATTAAAAATAACAACAATTTAAATACAAATAAAAAACAATACGTTATGACTTTCTTTTTTTCTTTTTTTTCCTTTGAAGCAGTGTCTCACTTTCTCAGCCTCAGTTGAGTGGCATGGCATCATAGCTCACAGCAACCTCAAACTCTTGAGCTTAAGCAATTCTCTTGCCTCAGCCTCCCGAATAGCTGGGACTACAGGCGCCCACCACAATGCCTGGCTGTTCTTGGGGGTTTTTTGTTTTTTTTTGGCTGGAGCTGTGTTTGAACCCACCACCTCTGGCATATGGGGCCAGTACTCTACTCCATTGAGCCACAGGCACCACCAATGCCTGACTGTTTTTAGAGATGGGGTCTTGCTCTTTCTCAGGCTGGTCTTGAATTCGTGAGCTCAGGCAGTCCACCCCCCTCGGCCTCTCAGAGTACTAGGATTACAGGTGTGAGCCACTGCACCCGGCCCATTATTACAATTATTTACATAGATACATGTATTATAGTAGATTATATTAGCTACACATATTATAAGTAATCTAGAGATGGCTTAATATTTTAAAAGATCTGTGTCAGTTGTATGTGAATACATCACCGTTTTCAGGGACTTGTACATCCATGGATTTTGGTGTCCACGGGGTAGGGGAGCTTCTGTAACCAGTTTCCCTAGATACTAAGAACTTCACATCCTGGTCTTAGGAAGATGATAGTCTAAATATTGTGATTTTTAAACATTTTGCTTTTCAGCATTAGAACTGTTTTTAAGAACATAGGTCTCCTGCTTATTAACTGCTACCCTAGACAAGTTAATTCTGTTTTCAGAAGATAAAATAATGATATCTATCTTAGGAATTTTGCAGCGGCTAAATAGTCGATGAATGTAATGCTCTTAGAATAGCGATTGGCACATCATAAATACTGATAGGTATTAGGTAGGTATTAGTTTGTCTTTTTTTTTTTAATTCAAGGAGTTAAACAGAATGACTCTGGAAAGATTCTATCTTCTGTAACTCTTATATTTGTTCTCCTTTCCTGAGTCTTATTCTACTTTGACAGGACCTAGTGGACAAAGAAGAAATAATTGAATGTCCTTTTCTTTTTCACGTAGTATTATTGCAATTATGTTGTTTATCATCTCCTCCCCTCTGAACTGTGCTAGTTTATCCATCCTGAGGCAAACTGACAGAGAAGGGATATAGTAATGTAGACCTGTTTATGGATATTCAGCCTACAGGACACTCTGAAACTTAAAATTCTCAGGTGCCTCCAGCCTCCTGAGTAGGCAGATGCCACATGTTCTGGTGGTGCACACAGGATAGCAGAATAATTGTGCCCTCCTTTACTCCAATTAGAGAATATCCAGGTGCTTACGTTTGCATCATTGGAAATATTTTTAGTTAGTGTTAGTTAAGCAGATTGAAGAGCATACCAACCCTTTTCCATTGTAAAGATTACCTAGGAAGCTTACAGTGGGCTTCCTGGATGAAGCAACTCTTCATTTGAAGCAGGGAATGATACG